ATATATATATATATATATATAATCGGTATTTGTTTCATAGTTACAGTTCTAGTCTGGCATATGATCACACACACATGACCATAAATTCATTGTAAAACATGCTGTCAGACAAGTTGTGTAAACCCAGGTCAGTGTTGACATTAAACCTCCTGACAGGTGAAGGATGGGAAGTGACATTGATTAACATGTGTGGAAATATTTAAACACCCCACGATCTGATTCATTTCATGGAGCTGGGATGCAATCATTACAATGAGCATTGATGCATCTCAGTTACTGGGTTTGTGAATAAACACCAGGAGACAGCTGGTACGCTTATGATGTTTATCCAAAACACTGAACATGAAGTTTGACAGAAATACAAGCTTTATTTTACATAAATAAACGTATTTATATTTTCATGCCTTTGAAAAAGAGTGCACAGCAATGCGTAAAAAAAATCAAACAATTAGCTTAGATGCTAACCTCACATTGAAACATTATAGAAAAGCTAATGTGCTTAGTGTTCATCACTAGAAATAGATCATCAATCAAACGGTTCAAATTACCACTAAAGAAAGTCTTTTTATTATAACTTCCAACAGACATACAAAGTATTCAGTAGATTTAAAAAAGAGAAAATGAAAAAGTTGTGAAAACACTGCAGCATGATTCAACTGCAGCAACCCCACTAGGACAAATGGCACCACAGCAACTACCTATTGACTCTTAAAGTGACAGCACAGAATAACATTAACAAAATAAATTGTTGACATTTGAAATTTGATTTTGAATTATCCTTTTCATGCACCTAAAACAGACTATAACCCCCACCCCTGTTGATTAAGTCGTCAGAATACCAAGTGAAAGTAGAGCATAATAATCTCAAGTGTTCCTGAGTAATTCAGCATTAATTTATGTAGCGACTGTATCAAAAAAGTTAGCATTGTTTGCAGAAAGTTCCCTTTTAACAACGCTCCAAACGTCTCCTGAAAGCTCATGTTCTTATTTTGTCTTCTTTTTAGCACCTGAGAATAAAAACTCCAGATAGTTTGAAAATCAGTTTGTGTTTTTAGTCAGCACGTGTGTGATGATACTGAAATCTTCAATATCACATATCTGTATTTGTGATCAGATGTTCTGCTTGCCTCACTGCTGACTGTGATGCAAGCTACTTGTGTATTTGCATATTAAACGTGGAACTGAGATTAAATTGAAAATGTTAACTAAAATATGTTTAAAGGTATTTTAATGCCCAGCTGTGAACATTCTGGCTCAAATCTGTCTGCTTTTAATCTGTAATCGGAATATCCAGGACAAACGTTAATTTCAGGTCTGAACAGACACTTTGACAGTGAATAAATTGTGAATGCTAGATTAAAAATACTATTTAGAGTATCTTTGGTTGGGTATTTCCTGGAGTGCAGCGTTAGTACCGACTGAAAATGTTCCCAGAAAGAACAGTTGAGGAGAGAGGTCTGCTAGCAAAGCTCAGTGGAGAGTTTCTGTTGGACAAGCTTCTGAAAATGAAAGTTTTGGTTATGACAGAAAGGTGTCAAAGTTTTTAATGCCTCACTTTACTTTGATTCAATCTTCACCTAAGAACCTTGCTAAACCACAGATGTAGGTTTTGTTGCACCAGACTCAAAATCCAGTACATGTCTGTGCTTATTTTTTCTCACAGTTCCTGGTTCTGTTTATCTTTTTTTTTTATTCAATTCAATTTATTTATATAGCGCCATGTCACAACAGAAGTCATCTCAGGTCACTGAACAGAAACATTCACGCTGTGGTACGTAACCATTCATCAGAGACAACTTTAGCTCCAAGACGTGGTTATGAATCAAGGGAAATACGTCTTTAAGCAGTCTGGTTGGGATGGGATCTAATGGACATGCGGATGGTTTGGATGAAGTTATTATTTTTGACAATTCAGAGAGCTCAACAGGACAAAAACAGTCCAAACGTAAATCAGGTTCTAGTGACATTTTTAAAGTCTCATCTGACACAGAACCAGAGGCGATAGTAGGAAGGTTGGTTTGAATTTTCCCCCTAATTGAAACAATTTTATTTATAAAGAATCTCATGAAGTCATCACTGCTTATAGTTTTAGGGATAATCGACAGAGATAGGACTTTTCATTAAACTAGCGTTTTAAAACAAGCATGATCAGATGTTTTTTTTATTGTTTAAAAGCATTTGTTTCTAAGAGCTGACCTCCAGGATACGGAGGTTATATCAGACATGTTTTGAGCTCTGTTTTGTTTCTGTTTGTCACCAGGTGAGCTGGCTGCGGAGTCAGTTCCCTTCATTAGACATCGAAGTAGACGGAGGGGTCGGCCCTGATACTATTCACAAGTGTGCCGAGGTAAAGGACATTGTGACTACTTCTATAAGCTTCTGAAAACCTATTTAAGTACTTTCTAAAATGATTTGTGCTTATGCGTCCTTCAGGCGGGTGCCAATATGATCGTGTCGGGCAGTGCTGTTATAGGCAGCGACGACCCTCGTTCTGTCATCGCACTACTGCGCACAGTGGTGGCCGAAGCAATTCAGAAACGCTCACTGGACCGCTGACGTGTCCACCTGCAGTGACATTCCACCTCCCACAGCAACATACAGCAGTCAGTGGACACGACTCAGTATGGACATTTCTGGGGTGGAAAATGGTCACGGTCAGATTGAGGGGAGTTTATTTTTAATAGACAGAACAGTTTGACGTGGTTGAAGCTGTCGTGCCGGTTAAAACTTGGTCCTCTCCTGCCACAGTCTCCTTTTTATGAAGTCTGCTCAAACTGAGTCTCAGCCCAGGAACAATTACAGGACTGGAGCAAAGTTTACTCTGATAAACTCTGTAAACATTCCAGGAAAATAACTGAAGTAAAAATCTAAGTTGCCCAAGAAGCTGTTAAAGTTTGCTTTAGAATTAGATTTTTTTTTTTTTTATCTTAAATCACATTTCTAGGATTAAACAAAGCCTTTTTAACCATTTTGTTGAACTCATAGGTTCCTGTTTTACTCAACAAATATCTTGTGAACGACTTATTGCCACAAAATTTGGGTTGCAGATTAAATGGTTATCATGTGAAGCGTCATTCATGTTATTTGTGTTTCTCAAGCTACTAATAATTCATCTTTAATCCTAGAAAGTGATCATGTTTGAAAATAAAGCAGGATTATTTTGGTAAAATTCAGAAAAACGTCACTTGAATGTACATATTTAAAATTCCAAAAATGAAACCCTGCATTAAAAAGCTCCCTTAGGTACACGCAGAAATAATTATATTCTGTACACTATTACAAAATCAGAGGTTAAGGTTATATTTAAGTCCGTAATTTCAATTTAAGATCACAAAAATAATAAAATGTTGTTGTTTTTTTAAGTTTGTCCATTGATCAATAACCCTTAAAAAGTCTGTACGGGGACCAAGTGTCAGCCTGATGTGTGTTTTTATAACAAAGTATAAATGGAGTTCAGTTAACTCGGATGATTAAAGAAGTTTTCTAAAGACAATCTGAATAAATGTCTTCAAAAAAGAGGGCAATTATAGTTTAGATAAGACACCAAAGTAGGCCTTTGAGAAAGTGTTCCTGTTTCATCATTTTATTAAGAGAGATTGAGATTTGATCTGGTGAACTCCACATTAAAGCATATTATTTAGACAATCACATTTTGTTTTTGATTAAAGAAAAAAAATCCCTTGCAATATTCATGGCAATCGGAAAACATCGAAGAGTCGCAGACAGTATTGTAAGTTTATAAAAAGATGTCATCGTGCAGTCATATAGTCTTGTTTTATACCAAGATCTTAAAAACTGTACGGCTGAAAAAACCTTTGAAGAATCTCATTAGGAAAGTACGCACAGCCATAAAAAGGTTGTTTGATCGGATCTAATGAAAGCTAACTGGAACAAGGAGATGGAAATGGTGTGGAGCAGGGAAGCTATAGGTCTGATGATCCAAACACGGAGGGAGCAGTGTGACAGGTGTAGAGCTGCTTGTTAAACTGGCTTTTATAATGTATGTGAATGTTTCTGTTCAGTGCCCTGAGATGACTTCTGTTGTGACTTGGTGCTACATGAATAAACTGAATCGGTGCCTAGTTTTAAACAACACTGATGAAGGTGGAAGGATCAGTTCTGACCTACAGAGTCCACATCCTGTTGGAATGATGCAAACGTCCTGCAAAGAAAACCTTATCCATCTATAAATGTCTGCAATGACTTCAGTTAATTACATTAGCTTTACACTTAACTATAACTGGAAGGTCCTTAAAGGACCAAAAACTGACTGGACATCCCAAGAAAAACTCAGAATTTGATGAAGTTTCTGGATTTCAGGCTTTATTCAGCTATTGACTGGCAGGAACTAACATTTATAAAATATGTTGTACTGTAATATGTCTGGAATATACTGTTATTCTTTTATGTTACTGGCATTATCCTTTATTAACTGAATTGTAGCTAAATATAGATTCTCCGTGTCTTGATTGCATCCTTTCTTACCTATTGAGTCTGTAGACCGGGTAAATGAGGGGAAAAAGAGTAATTGTTCAAATGTTGATTGAGCTGTCAGGACAACAATACACTTCTGTTTATGATTATTATTCTAACGTTGCATCCAGTCTAAAAATAAAGCTAAATTCCCCCCAAACAAAGTGAATATATATATATATATATATAATTTTTTTTTTTTTTTTTTTTTGGAAAAGCAAGAGTTTTTATTTACAAGCCTCTTAATAAATTAAAAACTGGTGCTAGACCCAACATTTTTCAGTCAGATCGTCTGGACAGTTTTTTGTGCTGAAACGTTTCGCCTTCAATCCAGAAGGCTTCATCAGTCAAAGAAACACACAACAAAACTGATTATTCTCCCAACAGCTTACTCCAAAGTGGAACAAACCAGTTCTGCTTGTGATAAGATGGTCTCTTTGGTACGCCCCCTCCTCCATTGCCGGCCCTCTTCCTTGTTGACAGTCGTGTCAAAATGGTTGAAAACAACAAAGTCCATGCTCAATAATCCAGGTATACAATCCCAACATGAGACTGAAAAATGTTGGATTGTATACCTGGATTATTGAGCATGGACTTTGTTTTCAACAGGTACTAGACTTTTTAAAAGCTTCAACTTTGGGATTTTTTTAAATCCATATTAAAAGTGATTAAAATGTGGTTTGTTGAGCAGAAGTGTGCATCTGTTTTAAATGGGTTTCTTCTTATGGAGCTCTCTAAAACTGTTCCAGCAGTTTCCTTGCTCCTGCACTAGGTGGAGACTTCAGACAAAAGCAGACAGTAGACAGCCTGGGTTTAAAGATCCTAAATAAAAGTTAAGGCGTGTTAACATGTGAATCAGAACAGATGTGTTACTCTGGTTCCATATTAACAACACAGTTGTGTTATATTTAATGCATTCTAATGCATTCAGGCTCTGTGGTGTGAACAGCATCGCCACAACCTCGGCAGAGAGTTTGGATGCTGAGAGGCTAAAACATGCTAATAAAGGGAGAAAAATCGCGTATTGACAATGTTGGTTGAAGTTTTGACCTCTTATAAACTTTTACCAGCATTTTTATAATCAATACATTCATAAATATGTGAGGTAAGTGATTAACGTGCATTAGATGGCAACCTAGAAGAAATCTAAGTTTGTTTGCAGGATGTTTCATGTTGCTTTTATTCTGACGTGCATGAAGGATCCCTCAGTTGACACCCAGAGAGTCTGAAAACTTGTCAATTGTCTCTCATGTCTTGGCTATGGAAATAATCCCTCCCGTCACTGAAAATCACCCACAACATACGTCAAACTGCAAGCAGTTCTCCCTTTAATAATTCAGCACGTGTCTTGGAGGCAAATCGCTGGCCTGTTGAAATATTGATGCTTAAAATCTGTATTTTTATTTCAAAGTCACACTTTATGGCAGCTATAATGTCATGCTCCTCGGATTGTTGCATTTGTAGATTCAAACCAAGTGTGTAACACCAGCATTTGCGCCTGATGCATGTATTCTGTAAGTGGTTTGGGAACTCCTGCCATCAAAGATTTGTGCTCTAATAGCTCACGACAAGCGTTTTGTGTACCGGTGTGACTGCTGCGTCGCAACGAAAGAAAGACGATTCATGCGAGGGAGCTGTCAGCACCTACACATGCTCCACACAGCTTCAGCCGTGTTGCAGTCTCATTATCTGTTAAGTGACAGTTGTTTCTCTCTCTCCAGATTGTCTTGCACTGTTTACATGCCATTTACTGATTAATTTTGAATTCAGAACTGCAGAAAGAAATGATAAGCAGTGATGGTGCTTGTAGTGTGACATACTAACATACTGTACATGCCTGCTTCTTAACTTCATACCTAAAACATCAAGTGGTGTCATGGAAACTACATCTGTGAGAAACTCATTTAGGGTTACAAGCAGAAATACGAACATGGTAGGGGCATGGAGGAAAGTGATCAAGACATCAATCAGGGCTGGACGCATGTGAAGCGACTTTGTTTTTCACAGCACGCTGCTAGGAAAGTAAGAAAGAAGCGCTGACACACACTGGAAAAACAAAAGCTGACCAGGTTTAGCCCCAACAGTAAGTCAGGCAGCCATTGTGTAGAGTTTCTGATCTTTATAGACTTGCTGTAAGGGAACATCTCAGTTCCTTGCAGATGTGCGTGCAGACTTATAACATAATACCAGAGGGTTTTTAAAAACGCTCTACAAAGGTGTTCAGATAAACTCAAACCTCCTGTCTTATTGCACTGCATGGTTGACTCACCTCGACAGGGAGCTGCTTTACGTCTTGTTTTAGCAGCGATGAAGTCAACATCTGGAAGTTTCACCCCTGGGATTCAAGAGTGCAGACGTGCTGTCTGTTACTGTTTGTGACCTCAGGAAATAAAAACCTAAACAGGGCTGTTTTCTTGTATAATGGCATGCAAATGGTTTGTGGTCAAAACTGCCACTATAAGTGGTAAATGGACTGTATGTATATACAGTAGCACCTTTCTATCTGATCAAGATACTCAAAGCACTTTACAATCTGTGCCTTCCCATTCATACAGCACTCTACTATACCTATACAACATTCATACACCGATGAGACACACATCGGAGGCAATGAGGGGTTCAGTGTCTTGCCCAGGGACACGTTAGCATGTGACTGCTGGTGGAATCGAACCTCCAACTCTTTCATTAGAGGATGACTGCTCTAACCACTCAGCCGCCCATGAACAGGTAACTGAGCACAAGGATTACTGATTGCTTAAAATTAAAGAACAAGTATAATTTTCAACATTTTCACAAAGACTGATAATTGTTGTTTTAAAGTCAGAATTTGAGATTTGCACAATTTAATCAATGACTCAGTAATCATGGCTTGTTGGCTTTTATTGAGGAACTGTTGAGTGATGTACAGGGGCAGCACGGTGGTGCAACTTGTAGAGCTGCTGCCTCTCAGTGAGTTACCCTGGTTCAAATCCTGGTCCGGGGGCCCCTCTGGGTGGAGTTTGCATGTTCTCTCTGTGCGTGTGTGGGTTTACTCCGGGTACTCCGGTTTCCTCCCACAGACCAAAAACATGCATGTTAGGCTGATTGATAACTAAATTGTCTCTAGGTGTGAGTGAGAGAGTGAATGGTTGTTTGTCTCGTTTGTCTCTATGTGTCCCAGTGATGGACTGGGGACCTGTCAAGGGCCCCGCCTCTCACACAGTGATTGCTGGACATGGGCACTAGCGACCCCCTTGACCCAAAAAGGAAGAAGCAGGTAAAAGATAATGGATGGATGCTGGGTAATGTACATCATCCAATAGATATAGAGTCCCCTAATTTCTTTCTGAGTTTTAGGCTAGAGGAAAACACAAGATGACACCAAAGCATGTTTTTAGATCATGATGCACATCTAGAAGAGGTCTGGACCCAAGAAAACCCACAACATTTGAGGCAACTCAAACCTTCCTTTTGACCGCATAAAAAACAACCCTGAAATATTTTGCAGATTCTGGAGTCTTGCAAACTTTGTCACAAGAACAACTCTCCTGTGTCATCACCCCCAATCTCAACATTTGATATTACAAAAGAACATCCAAAACAGTCTAATGCATTTAGGAAGCAAATCTAAAAAAAAACGATTATGTTTAAATGCAAGTTTTGAGAGCAACCTGCAAAGAAGATTTTATAGAATGTTTTGTCTGCCTAAAGTATTTTTTTAATTTAAGAAATGAACTTTCCCCAGGCCTGAGTTATGTCCTGGTATCTTTGTTCTTTTTGTCATCATGAAGGTTATTGAATCATGCTTTGGCCCCTCATCCA